CGGACTAAAGTTAGGGTTTCTATTGAGATTTCTGGTATGAAAAGAGGGTTAACGATGGATAAGTTCTACGGTCATGGAAGAAGATGATTGAACCGATGGTGCGATCAAAAATGCCGAATGTTAAACGCTGCAAATTGGAGGAAATTGATGCCGATACGACAGATGATTCACATCGTCATTACCCTTCTGGGAGTTTTACCAAGAAACAAAGAACAAACACCGTGTTCGTGGCAAATGCTGATAAGGAAGCCTGTTTTATCGACTACGAAAACGTCGTTAACGCTTGGTGCACCGGAGGAGTTCCATGTACCCCTACCGATTTGAAGTCGAGTTCAGGTTCAATTCAACTACTCAAGTCTTCTCGAAGTCGTCTATCAGTATGTCCCTCGCGATTTAACGACTCAGTTATAGGTTTGTGGAAGAAAGAGAATGATAACGATATGATTACGAACATAAAGAAGCGCAAAAGCCCATTTTGTGACAGAGAATCAGTATCGAAGAAACAGAGTATGGAAGTGAAGGTGGGTGAAATGTACACAAGTTCATCTTGTTCTGCAACTTCAATTGGTAATAATAATTTTATCAGCAATAAGAAGGCGAGAAAGACAATCAAGAATAAAAACAAGAAGGAATCTTATGGACATGAAGATTTTCATACAGGTGAAATTGTGTGGGCAAAATGCTCGAATAGGTTTCCAGCTTGGCCAGCTATTGTGATCGACGCACAACAAGAAGCTCCTGTATCTGTAAAGAAAGCCCGCATTCCAAACACTGCTTGTGTTATGTTTTATGGGTATTCAAAAAGAGGAACAAGGGTAATCTCTTTCCCCATTCAGCCACGTGTCTACATGTCTTGCGTCTGTTAACTAATTTTTAGCCCTAATTAAGTCTCGCTGATGTTTCAGGATTATGCATGGGTGAAAGACGGAATGATATTTCCTTTTTTGGAGTATTTAGACAGGTGTGTGCTTTAAACGCTTGTACCTTTATGTTTTCAAGAAACTAATAACGAGTTTTAATGAGTTAATTTTTGTTCAGATTTCAGGGACAAACTCAATTGTACGGATGCAAGCCAGATGATTTTCGTAAGGCAATAGAAGAAGCATACTTTATTGAAAATGGGAATTTGAATTCCGGCTATGAGGACAAACAAGAATGTTCAAGTGATTCCGATTCCGCTTCTGCTTCTGATTCCGAATCTGATTCGGATTCCGATTCTGAACCCTATTCGGATTCGGATTCCGATCTTGTTGAGATCGAAGTGGGAACTGCTACAGAACGTCATCTTAAATATTTCAAAAATAAAAAGGCAAGTGTTTTTGCATACAGTTCTTCATATTTCTTGTACACTTTTGTAGAAACTATGACACTCATATGTTGATTTTCTTGTTGCAGATTGTTTATAATCAGAAAGAGGAGCAACCTTGTGAGAGCTGTGGTTTGATTTTCCCAATTGAAACAATGAATAAAGCTTTGTGTGAGCGTTGTACTCCAAAGGTTAATAAGAATATCATTACAGAATGCAAAAGTCAACCTTCTGTTGATCAAATAGCTGTAGATAAATCGCCACCAAAACCCCGGTATTCAAACTTTTCATGATGAGGATGTTGTCAATTTTTTATTTCGTTTTAGATTTAATTCCTGATGATTTGATATATTTTCAGCAGATCAACAGAAAATAATGCTCAAAGTACATTGCCTGATAAAATAAGTGTCATCTGCAACAACATGGAAGGGATTTATTATCCAAATCTTCATTTGTAAGACCACAGAAAAAAAAACACAATTATGATAATATAATACTTATACTTAATTGATTTATATTATATATATATATATATATATATATATATATATATATATATATATATATATATTTTTATCAGAGTGGAGTGTAAATGTGGTTCATGTGGGACAAGAAAACAAACCCCATCTAAATGGGAACGCCATACTGGTTCCAGAGCAAAAAAGTGGAAAGTCAGCATTAAAGTCAAGGGTTCAATGTTACCCCTCGAAAAAATGGTGATTTTTATTTTTTTATTTTTTTAATGATATGAATACAGAGTACTGCATATGTTTTGATTTATTATCTTTTAGTAACATTTTAACATTGCAGCTTGCAGATAATAATGTTTATTATGTTAAGTCTGCTCCTTTAGATGAACAACAGTTATTTTCATTTCTTCAAGGTAATTAATCTTAATCATATGATTCTTTTATTACTGTTTAACTTTAATGTTTATGAATGAATTTTATATATAAAATGTTTTTGTAACAATTACAGAGAAGTATGAACCTATTCATGCAAAGTGGACAACTGAAAGATGTGCTATATGTAGATGGGATGAAGATTATGATATCAACAAAATTATCATCTGCAACAGGTCTTTCTTTCTTTCAATTATCTTGTGTACTTTTATGTTAAAAATCCCACATGTAAAATAGAATAATCAAACTTTTTTTTATTGGTCCAGGTGTCAAATAGCTGTGCATCAAGAATGTTACGGAGTTAGAGATGTTCATGACTTCACATCTTGGGTTTGTAGGGCATGTGAAACACCTGAAATTGAAAGAGAATGTTGTCTATGTCCTGTTAAAGGTAAATGAATTATAAACTTTTTTGGGATTATTTTTGGTAATTATTTTTTTTAAAAAATTATAGGTGGGGCTATGAAGCCAAGTGATATAGAACCCTTGTGGGTCCACGTCATCTGTGCATGGTTTAGACCTGAAGTTGCTTTTTTAAGTGATGAAAAAATGGAACCTGCAACTGGGCTTTTAAGGATTCCACCTGATTCATTTGTAAAGGTAAAAAAGCATTAAGATAACAAGTTTTCATGTCATTTCATTGTCCACATGTAATTAATAAATACATTGCTGACGTGGCAACTTTTTATTTTTTTTATTTTTGTGGGTATATTGTAGGCATGTGTAATTTGCAAGCAAGTTCATGGTTCTTGCATACAGTGTTGCAAATGTGCCACTTTCTTTCATGCAATGTGCGCTTCACGTGCTGGATACTGTGTTGAAGTAAGTTGACTAGTTGACTTTTTTTTTTTTAATTATGAATCTTGTAAAATAATAGTTGTGATTTATTAAAGATTTAAAAAATTTTCAGCTGCATTCGTCTGAGAAAGGTGGGATTTATAACACCAAATGGACAACATACTGTGCTATCCACAGGTATACTTTTTACAAGAATATGATGGTGTTATAAAATCTGATCATATTTATGAGTTTTATTGTTAATGACATTTTGTTTATAAAAAATATTGATATACAGAACACCAGCAGACAATGGGATTGTGATCAGGACTTCATCAGAGGTGTTTTGTGCAACAGGATTGCTTCAAAAACAGAATCAAAAACAGAGTTTTAGAGGCTCAAGACTCGTATCATGTGCAAATGTAAATCTTTCTACTTCTTCAACATCAGAGAACAATGAGTTTGAGCCTCTATCTGCTGCCAGGTGTCGCATTTATACACCATCAACCAATAAGGTAAAAAAGTCACAATATTCCATTAAACTTTTCTCTTTATTTTCTCACTTAAAAACTCTTTTTTAAAATTTCCAGAATGATGTAAAGGAAGCGCTATTTCACCGAGTTATGGGCCCAATTCAGCATCCTGTAGATGCTATCGATTCCTTAACTTCCAACAGTGTAATTTTTCCACTTAGTTGTTTTATCAGGAGTGGGTATTTTAGTAATTTAGTAATTTAACTTGTTTTGTTTACACTTTATAGGAAGTTCAAGATTTGAATTCGTGTTCTACATTCAAGGAAAGACTCGACAGTTTACAGAGGATGGAAAAACATCGTGTCTGTTTTGGTAAATCTGGAATACATGGGTGGGGCCTGTTTGCACGTAGGAAGATACAAGAAGGAGAAATGGTATTTTTGTTTTTAAATTATATTATTTTTATTAAAAAAATAATAAAATTAAATCTTCTGTTTCTTTTTCCGTATCTGGAGGTTTTTGAATACCGGGGTGAGCAGGTGAGGCGCAGTGTCGCAGATTTGAGAGAGGTCAAATATAGATCTCAAGGGAAAGATTGCTATGTGAGTTTCCTTTTTTTTTTTTTTTTTTTTTGAATAAAGTTTCACATACGTTTATATTTTCTTTTTTGTTGATTGTGATTAATTTAAATTTTTTTTAATGCAGTTGTTTAAGATTAGTGAGGATATTGTAATTGATGCCACAAATAAGGGTAATATGGCACGCTTAATTAACCATTCGGTAAGGTTCTTATTTCGTTTGGTATATCTTTATTTTTAAAGGCTACCTTGTATTTTTATAGGTTAATAATTCAAAATGTTATTTATTTATTTATTTGTTACAGTGTATGCCGAATTGCTATGCTAGGATTTTAAGTATGGGTGAGGAGGAGAGCCGGATAGTCCTCATTGCTAAAAGCAATGTTGCCGCTGGTGATGAATTGACGTATGACTTTCGTTGACCATTTTTTTTTTAATTTCATTTTTATTTTGTGGGTTCCATTTATATTCTCTCAAAATAAATTACAAAATTTGTTTTTAATAAAGTTTTCGTGTCACTTACATGTATATAATTGTATTGATTATATGGTGCGACAGGTATGACTACAAATTTGATCAAGATGAGCAAGATGAAGTTAAAGTCCCTTGTTTATGTAGAGCCTCCAATTGTCGAAATTTCATGAATTAGTTATAGTTAGTATATAACCAAAGTTGCTTTTTTTTTTTTTTTTTTTTTTTCTTTATAGCATGTAAATTCTAGTCATATCTTCCAACGTTTAGTTTCTTTTTTCATTCAAATGATTATCGAGTATTCTTTTTCATGAAAAGAAAGATTTTGATTTGTTTGATTGTTTATAGTCAATTATTTTGTCGTACACATTCTTTACTCATTGGGGCAAATGATGATGTAACTTGACAAAAATAAAATAGAAAAGTCGTGTAACTTGTATACATAAACAAAACACAACTGTCAGAACTCACAAGCTTTTGACTTTGGATTTATGTTTCATATATATGATTGCCTTTACCAACCACATGTCCTTCCTTCTTCAATAAGTCATCTTTTAAGACACGACAATCGAGGAGCATCCATGGATGCCTATGCCTATGTCTTCACAAAAGCTCTCTTCTATCTTCTCGTGATTCCTCTTTTTTCTTCAGCACAACCAAATTGCCCACTTTCATATTGTGGTCAAAACCAAAACAACGTCCGTTTCCCCTTCCGGTTAATCGGTCAACAACCCCAAACCTGCGGCTTTCTGGGCTTCGATCTCCGATGTGTAAGACCCAGTACGTTGCTTATCAACATCTCCTCCTCCGGCGAATTCGCCGTCAGGAGCATCAACTACCGATCACAAGCTATGCGAATCTCCGACCCTTTAAACTGTCTTCCGGCTAGGCTGTTGAATATCGACCTCTTCAACTCACCTTTCTCAGCTGCTAGCTACATGCAAAATTACACTCTTTTGAGATGTCCAAATGATGCGAGTTTGTCTGGTTATAGCTATACCACCGTTGATTGTTTGAGTAATTCGAGTTTTACGACTCTTGCTATTGCTTCAATGAATGCTGTGAGATCATTGAGTGGTAATAACACCGGATGTCAGATCGTCGGACTTAATGTAAGGCTGCCGGTGACGTCGGAGCAATCAAATCAAGGGTTTACAACACGGATCGATGATGATATGATTTTGATATGGTCGAAACCTGATTGTGAAACTTGTGAAACAGCTGGTGTTTCCTGTGGTTATGCAAATATTTCCTCATCGGAGACAAGATGTTTCTATAACAACGGTTAGTCCGATTCATATCCTTCTTGACCCATTTGGAATTCGATCTAAAGATTCTTGATTTTTGATTCACAGGTGTTCCGAAACCTTCCCACATATTCAAAATCATAGCTTTTGCAATGGCTATACCAGCCATGGCAGCTTCCGTTATGATCGCTTGCCTAATGTGTGCAAAGGATAGACGGCGGGGTGACCTCTTCAGTACCCAGAGAACCACCACCACCGTGGCCCCAGTGGACGACGGCGTTGTGCCGCCAACCATCGTTGGACTTGACCAGACGACCATCGAGTCATACACGAAAGTGGTGCTGGGCGAAAGCAAACGGCTCCCTGGACACGATGATGCAGTGTGTCCGATATGCTTATCGGAGTATCATGTGAAGGAGAGTGTAAGGTGTATACCGGAGTGTCTGCATTGCTTTCATGCAGAATGTATTGACGAATGGCTTAAGATGAATGGATCATGTCCGATATGCAGGAATTCACCCTCTCCTGTTCATGTTGATCAATCCTAGCACACATTTTTTTGTATTCTTTTGACTATTAATTTGCTTAATTTTGTTAATTATCGGATGATGTAGATACATTATATACCATACTTTTGTTTTAAAGATCATACATTAAATTTGTATCAAACATGAATTATGTTGGTGTAGGAGGAAGAGAGGTTGAATATATAATAAAATGTCAATGGTAGGTGTAGGTAAAACATTCTGATCAAAGACGTAGGGGTATGACTAGATCAAAAGTCAGCTCAATATTGTTATGAAGGAAGTGAGGACAAAGTTATGGAGGTCGATTAACAAATCAGTCTTTATTTTATTTTGAGAGGGAAAATGTTAGAACCCTTCAAGGTACGTTAAGAACCATTATTAAGAATATTTTTGTCAAAACTCTTCTTAAATTTTAAAGGTTAAGAACCATTTTAAGATAATTTTTATCAAGGGCATTTTTGTCAAAACTTGTATTTTGATATCTCTAACATTATAACTATTAGACAAAAAACAAACTAGATCTGATAAATTACATGAATCGTCGTGCATGTGTCAAAATGTACGTTTAGTCTTTATTTTTAAAAATTAACTCAGACCGTCCCTTACATCAAAGTTGCACGTTTCATCCCTCTTTAGTTTGCATTTGCACGCTTCATCCCTCATGAGACATGAAATGACTATAATGTCATTTTTAATTTCTTTTTCATTTATTTTTGACATTTTTTTTTATTATCACTCATTATTAAAAAATAATCTTTTAATCATTTACAAACAATTCTTTCCCACTTTCTCATTTGTTGAAGAACACCTAACCACCACCAAAAAACTCAAGCCTTAAGTAAAACCAACACACAAAAATCAGCCCTAATTCAAGCCCCACCTTACCATCGAACGTTCACAATCCTTCATTTCAACCTTAAGCAACCACCACCAGACCACCATAACTCACCAAACTAGCAGCCAACACCACATCTGCCATCCAAAAAAACCTGCATGTAACGCCCGGTTCCTGGTATGTATTTAATTCAAAATTCATTCATTTTATATGGAAACTCGACGATGTTGGAATAGTGTTCAAGGTCATCAACTATTGGTAATATTTCTAATAATAGCAGGGTCCTTTTGGGTTGCCCTCAAGACCCAAATTGAGTAGAATAAATAAAGGAGAAATTGGTTTATTAATTATTATGGTTAATAATTAATTAGAAACTAATTGGAAATATATTTTGGAAATATATTATGGGAATTAATTAACAGTTTAATTGATTAAAGGGTTGAATGTTCATTAATCGATAGTTGGTTAATCAGGAATGTTCCAGAACCCTTATGGAATTAGGGTTGGATGAAAATCACTCCATCCCACATGGGAAAGGAGTGAAATTTCGTGGTTATGCCTCCATCCCACATGGGAAGGAGTACTAAACCCTAGGAGGCATCCAAGGCTATAAATAGGGCCTTAGGGATTTCATTCATCCTTGCACCTTGGCTTGAAGTTTCGCCAACCCTTCTTCCTCCCCCTCTTAGGGACGATTTCTAACCCCTTTGGGTTTGGGAAATTGACCCTTCTCCTAGTTATTTTATTATACTCTTTGGTGTCATTGGGTGTGATACCATTAGAGGGATTCTGGTTTGGGTCCTTTCATCCAAGCAACTTCATAGAGGTTCAAGATCTCAAGCATGGAGATCAAAGGCAACATAAGAAGTATGTTTTCTTACTTATGTTTTATGTTTTCTAGGGTTGATGTAATTAGCATGAAGCCATAGATCCATAGGTTGCATTTACACTTAGGTATATCGTTGTTTTGATTTTTCCGCTGCCTAGTTTAGAGTGTATTTGATGCGTAGAAAACCCAATAGTGGTATCAGAGCCATTGTTTCATGGTTACTTTCACCCTAGATCCATGTTTTCTGTAAAAACTTGTTTGAAACTGAATGGAAGAAGAATAATTGAAATTTTTGTAATGTGTTAAAACCTTAGTCGCAGCTCACGACGTGAACTAGGAGTTCACGATGTGAGCTCAGTTGAATTTAGGGTTTCAGATTTTTGCCATTTTTCGAATATGTAGCTTTGATAAACATGGATAAATACCTAATTTAAATTGTTTTTGAATTTGGAAAATTGATAAATATTATTTAAATGTGTTTATTTGAATTTGAATATTTATTTGATAATGGATAATATTATTTAAATATGTTTATTTGAATTTGAATATTTATTAATTGATATATATTATTTAAATGTGTTTATTTGAATTTGAATATTTATTTATTATTTAAATAGTGAATTTAAATATTTAATATTATTTGTAATAGAGATTTATAAATGTGAATATTACCCCTCATGATTTATTAATTGTTACATTGCGCCCTCGCAATTAATTAGGATTAATAATAGACAACTAAATTTAAAGAGTTTTAAATTTACTCCTTATATTTATATATATATTAGAATTGTGTCTATAATATGTATAAGAAAGTTACAACATGCGCCCTCGTATGTTTTAAATATTGACATTGTCAGTCTTACCATGACTAGGCTCACCCATTATGATGTAGGGGTTTAAGGAGGTCTCTATGATTCCTAATGAGGTCGGTTTTTAATATGCTTCGCGCTTACCACCCTCACCGCCCTATTGCATTTTGAGAATGGAGTTACCGAAAGGGTTTGATAGTGATAATGGTCAATCTAAAAGTACTCTAAATACAACTATAAAACTAAATCTCGTTTTATTAATAGAATGTGAGTTTATATTATCCATGAAAATTGCACGTTCTCTTTATATTCTATTGGTGGAGCTCGTGTGGTTAACCGGCACATCAATGTAGAGTATAGTTGAGAATGATATGGAACTCGCGAATCTCAAGCGTTACTTGATCCGGGGATCATGCGATTTTGCAAGGTTAATTCTCAGTCTATTTAATGTGAATCTTATGTTATCCATAAAAGTTGCACATTCTCTTTATAACTTGTTGATGGAGCTCGCGTGGTTAACCGACACGTCAATTTAAGAGTATAGGTAGAGAATGATGTGGAACTCGCGAATCTCAAGCGTAACTTGAGCCGGAGACCACACGATTTTGTATGGTCGATTCACCATCTGTTCAATGATCCGCGACGACCCCGTCATTGAATTTGAGATGAACATAATCCGAGATTAACATGCCATTGATAGTCAATGAATCTTAAAGATCTAGGAATTTCGTGGTAATCGAAATTGGCAAAGGGCTTTGCCTACCTAAATAACTTTATGGTGTGTTTACGGCATCCCTTTACACATCATGAAGCCAAATATGGATCCTAGCCTTTTAAAATAATTTTATTTGGGGTGATTATTTTCTAAGGATAAGTAAAACAAACTATAATGGAATTTGTTATTGAATGATGTCTATAACCTTATCCACTAAAATCTACTGTTATAAAACCTTTCAAAGGATTACCTTTTAGGATGATCAATCTTGTCCAAATTCGTAGTCTGGGAATAGTTCTCATAAACGAAAAGAAAGATCATTCCTTTGATAAAACTTTTCTTAGGTTACTTCAAACATTGCTTTCTAAATTGTTAGAAAGAGCAATTGTCAAATGTACGGTGTAAAATGACATATTGAAGTAGAATGGAATTTCCTTCAGTTAGGAGTTAACTATGGTTAATTGACTAGCTAACGTGTACATATGATCAGTTCATACTGATTTTGATATGAACAACTTGGAATGTCCATTAAGGAGTTGTGTAACATGTTGAGGTTTCCTTTTGGAACTAACATGGCCACTCATAGAAACTCAAACTTCAAACACTCCCATAAATTTACTATCATGAATAGAAGTGTCAAGAAGAAGAAAGTCAATTGTCCATGGTTTAAAAAGCGATTAGTGTTGGTATACCTAATCTAGGCCCAAATACCTAGGACAAAGGAAGGCTTATTCTGAGACATGTTCTGATAGCTATTTGTTTCCATAACAAGAAAAGGACTAAGAAATCAAAGTTGCCCAAATGTATATTTGAGGTGAAAGGACTGGAACATGAAGAAGTTAAATTTGATCATGGATCACGAGCCCATGCTACTTTCCATTGGATCAAAAGATAACTAGTTCTTCCATGTTTGGTATTCAATCAAATATATGGATTTATAATGCCATCCAAACATTACTTCTAAACCTTGAGTATTTTACTAAGGATTAAGAACTGACATTTGCAAGAATGTGTAGTTACTAAAATGAAGTAAAAAGACTGAAACATGGAAAGGATAATTTGATCATGAATGCCAAGCTCTTGCTACACTCATAGGATCAAATGACAATTCTCTATAAATGTTTAGTCTATGGTATTATAATTGAAATTGTTTATACTATGATTCATGAGATAGTTCTGACTTATTTAAATGTGGAGCATTCTAACATGTTAAAAGAAAGTCGTGAAATCTATGAAACTAGTGTAGTAGCAATATTTCAAAGTTGATTCGAATATTTGAATAAGGTGTATTATTGTGAATATCTGTTGAAATTAGTTTACCTAATTGATCGTTCAGATTGACCACAATATGTAATGATTCAAATACATCCAAAGTTTTGGGTGAAATGTATTTGTGGCATCATAGTCTTGGATACATAAATGAGAAACGCATTACCAAATATCCGGTTGGATCGAATTTTGGATATCATTTGACCTCGAGTCTTATGATAAATGCAAATCTTGTTTATCAAGATAGATGATGACATCACTGGGTGATGTGAATATCTGTTGGAATTAGTTTTCACTAATGGACCGTTCAGATTAACCATGATACATGGTGGGACCAACTTCGTATGAACATGAGTCTGGAACCTTTTCAGGTGTTCAGAACTCTCATAAAGCGAAGTTAAGAATCAACTGGGCAATAGGATGAGACACTCATAGTGAGCATCTCAGTCCAAACTTTATCGATCATCTAAGGAATTGTGAAGGAGTTTCACGATCTATCTTCACCCATAACACTACCACTAGGAAGTGTTAAGTTGGATAGAGAAACAAATCATTAATTGATTTTGTGCTAGATGAGTCGCGCTATGTTGGCTAACAATTCGTGGATTGTACCATGAATAGTGTTACAAGAAGTCCTTTGGTCTTGTGCCAACTAAGTAGG